GTGTGTGCCCCAAATCCTGACGGGGTGGAGGAAGAGGCACTGCAATGTGGTCACGCCCCACAGGTGGCACTTTCTCCCTCTCCCTTTCTCTCTGTCTGTCTGTCTTTCTCTGGCTATTACACTGTCCTCTAGAAATTAAAAATAAGTAAAAAAGAAATATTACCAGGGCCAGCAGGTGGCATGGTGGTTAAGGCACTGGACTCCCGGCAGGCCATGGTTGGAGTCCCAGACCTGGCGGGTTGAAATTCACGCCTGATGCATATGCATGCATTCCCGTCACAGTTCTCCGGGGCCCGAACAATAACTGACAGCAACGTAGCCCTTGTAGTTGGGCCACTGCTTCCTTAGCACTTCGATGGCGCCCTGTGACACTCGTCAGCTGTAAAGAGTGAAGGTGAATTCCCAAAGCACAGGGCGTCAGCTCTGCCTCCGCTTGGCCACAGCCTGCAATGCAGCTGCCCGGGTGAGCCCTGACGAGCCCATACAGCTGCCCCCCCCAACCCAGGGGGGACCGTGCTTAGAGCTGGCCTGCCTCCTGGGCCTGGGGTCCACACCCGAGGGCCCTGTCTCTAGTCTCGCCACGCTAGTGAGGACGGTGATGGAACCTGCGACTGGGGCTGGTGCGAAGAGCAAACGGAACACAGCACAGGACACGTGGCTCAGCTCGAGGCACCTGGGCCTCACGGCAGCCAGAGGTCTTAGCTCCTCGGCCAGTGCGGCCCAGAACCGGAGTTCAGGGGATAAAGCCCAAGCCCTGTGTTGGAACTGTGTGCCATCACATTTCCAGGCTCTCTCCTCTCCATCTTATCTGGAACAAGCCTATTTGAACCCTTCCCTTTTCCCCTTTGTCTTCCCCCTCGTTTCTCCCCCTTCTCTCACACAAAGCCAAGCCAAGAAGGTGTGGCCTGATTAAAATCCAGAGTGAGGTGAGCATTTTCTTAGCTCTTCAGCCAGATGAGAGAGTGCGACTGCTGTTCATACCAAAATATTGGTTGGTCTAAAACTACAAGAAAAGAGAACTATGAGAAGCCTGTTCCCTGTTTCTTTCGTGGAACAGGCAGCATATATGAGGGACCTCAGAAAGTCTGAGGGAGATGAGGCATGTGCTTATCTTGGTATAAAAATATTTCGGAGTCCATGCTCAATTTTTCTGTAATGCACATTTTCCATAAACTTTTTTTTTTTTTTTGGAGAGGTTTTTGCTATAGGGCACATGCGCTCGCCAGACAGACAGAGACATAGAGACAGAAAACGAGAAATCACCCCCCAGAGGGGATGGTCACGCCGCAATCCCTTCTCCTCCATTCTCCTCTTGGGATCTTGGGCACACACGCACACGCGCCCAGCGTGAGTTTTAAGCCACCGGGTCCGGGACACGAACCGCGGTCGATGACGTGGGAGTCCAGCGAAATACCTATTATGCTAACTGCTGGTTCCCTTCCATAAACTTTTTGAAGACTCCATTTACTGGACATGTCTAGACTTCAAGGAGAGAACAAGTTTGTTTTCTCATGAAATGTTGAAATGCAGCTCTGTCTTATTTGCACTGAAGGGTTAAGGGATTACCAACGCTCCTTTCAAGACCAGACAGGTAAGTTTCCACACTCCAAAGTCAGTCAGAACCTCCAGCCCACGAATGTCCCTTCTTCCTAGTTAGTAAACAGCTCAGTCAGTGTGATCGGAGCTATTTCGAAAGTCTGAAGCAGGAGGAGGCAGAAAGTGTCCCTGGAGTCTGAGCAGTGCTGATAGCAGGGCTCACCTTCACGCCATCCCAGAAACCCCCCAGCCTTGTGCACTCCGGGACAGAGTCACCCCAAGATCAAGGATTTATTGAGCCATGATTGACAAAATTAAGGTACAGTGGAGAAGGGAATGCCTGATTTCATAAAACATCATCTTTAACTTTAGTAGGAACGCACAAGGGCTGCAAGCTCTCCTGAGAAGCTGCAGTTCCAGACAGATCCCGGCCGTAAGGAGCTGCCGATGCAGACACAAGAGCATCATGGGTTCATACGCCTGAACTGAGAAGGTTTGGGAGAGCTCATAAATTAGGGCCCTGGCATTGGATAATTGGGTAACGAAAAACTTTTCCTTTTAGACTTATTTTATTTAATATACATACACACACACACACACACACACACACACACACACGTATATATATTTAATTTAGACCAAGAGACAGAGAAGGAAAGTAAGAAAGCAAGCCGCCAGGTCTGGAACTCAAATGGTGGTCAGCCATGTGGGAGTCCTAACCACTGTGCTACCTGCTGGCTCCAAAGAAAACGTCTAATAATTAGATTCTCTTTCTGAAAGTGAGATGGCTGGGTTGTTCATTTTGCTTTGCTTGGAAACCCTAATACCTGCAGGAGGGAGGTCCTTACAACACATGCTCACCTGCGCAAGGTCCCCACCACGGATGTCACTCCGTGGCCTTAGTCGCCTTAGCCCAGGCCGCACCCAGGGCGAGGTGCCATGTGGACGTGCAGGCCTAGGGTAGGCAGCACCTTTTTTTTTTTTTTTTTTTTAAGTGGCACTAGAATTTATTAAGATGTGCTTTAGGGTTAGAGTTAGGCTAGGGTTAGGCTTAGGGTTAGGGTCTGGCTTCTCAGACTGGCCAGTGGGCTCGGCCGAGGCCTCCCCTCATGTTTTAAGACCCAGGGTGGGGGCTCATCAGGCAGCGCCTTTTGAATGGCCACGCCCAGTCAAGCTTGGGCTCCTGAGAATTCAAAGTCCTTCACACCAGTGAGTCCTCAAAGGTGGAGAAAACTGCATGGCAGTGAGCGTGGCATGAGGGCGAGGCTTCACATCCGAGGCCAGAGCTCTGCTAGCCTGGGTGCAGAGCAAGGCCAAGCCCACTTCCTTCCCCTGGAGCTGATTATGCCAGGAGCGTGCTTCATTTGACTCTATTTTTTTTGCACACTAATTTTCAAAAGACTCCTAGACTGGACATCCTGCACTATTACCTGGCCAGCACTGTGCAGGCTGAGGGGTTAGGAAGGAACCCTTGCTAAGAAACTCCGGGACCAGCAATTAGCATAATGGCTATGTTGCTGGTGTTGGTGGACTCCCATGTAGTTGACCACAGTTCGAGTCTTGGACCCGGTGGCTTAAACTCACACTGGGCACGCATGCCAAGATCCCGAGAGGAGGATGGAGAAGGGATTGCGGCGTGGCCATTCCCCCTGGGGGGTGATTTCTCGCTTTCTGTCTCTCTGGCGAGCTCATGCACCCGATAGCAACCACCTCTCCAGAAAAAGAAAAAGAAAAAGAAAAGAGAAGAAAGTCTTTCCCAGCAGGTTCTGGGCTCCAGCGAGTGAGAGGCCCTGGCCTGGGATACTCCCTGGTCCTATCCAGTGCTCTCTATCAGAAAAAGCGAATTACAGATTCCCTCCTCACCAAGGAAGAGGGCCTTTGGAAAGGCGTGTAAAACTAAGTACTCAATATAATTTCTGAAGGCTTCTAAAGCACAGTGCATCCTACTTCCTTATACATACAATGGCCACTTGTGGTCATGTAAGGCCAGTGGTGGCTGCTGGTGGGCGGGCTTCTCTGGTCTTGTTCCCAGGCTTGGTTAGAAAGAGTTGACCAGGAACAAGTTCACAGGGGTGTGGTGTGTGTGCTCTCTGCCCCCAATCCGGCCAGAATGGAGGGGGATTGCGGCATGGCTATCCCTATGGGGTGTGATTTCTTGCTTTCTGTCACTCTGTCTCTCGGAGCAAAATCTATAAAAAAGGAAAAAAGAGTAAAAGAGTTTAAAGGACGAAGGCTTGGGGTCTGGCTCAAGAGCACCACGGTGGGACCTGCAGGGCCACCGCCCCCCATGGGAGCGCGAGACCTGACGCAGACAGTGCTGGATGACGGGTAAGTCACTTTCGTCCTCTTTGAGGAAAAAGAAATTCTAGATAGCGCAAAAGATTTCTTGTAAAATCCTGACCATCTCTGGGAGGGTGGAGGCGCTGGGTCTTGGGAGGTGCTTTCCCAGGGTCAGGTCAGATCCCTCCGGCAGCCTGGTCTCACCCACCCTCTCCCCGTGGCCGGTCGGGCTGCGGCCCTAGCGCTCCGCCCGGTGGTGGTGGGCCGGGCGGGCCGACCCTCCGGCGGCGGTTCCCGGCCCGGGAGCCCGTCAGGGTCTCGGAGGACGGCCTCCTGGGCCCGGCGGCCGGGGCTGGGCGCCCGACTAAGCTGCCTCCTGGACGAGCTGCTGCACCAGCCACCGCGGAGGCGCCCCGGGAGGGCTCCATGCTTCGGCAGACCCCGAGGACATTTTAGAGCAGACATGAGCTCCAAGCACCTTCTCCTGGCAGAAAAACAAGCGTGGCGTGTGCATTTTCCCGGAAACAGCTGCCATTTTCCGGAGCCCTGCAGGGTTCGGCGCTAGCTTCGCGCGGCTGCTCCGGGGCCAAGCGGGCTCTCCAAAACGCCCGGCCGCCCCGGCTAAGGTCCCGCCCGAGCCTCCGGGAGCCGCCTGGCACCGGCTCAGGCGGACGGGCGGGGCCCTTTGTC